CACCCGATTATTTTGGATTGAAAAAGCGTTGCGGCATGTATATGTCGTGCTAAAGTTATACCCTTTGCTGAAGTTGTAACTTCGACGGGCGAAGTAACTTCAACACAGCATATATACTATGAAGGAAACAAATTCATTACAATTGATCATGTCAAAACAATAGATAAAGAAATAACTTACTATCATCATACATATCAATAAGTATCAATTCTTCAAGTAAAGGCATGGTTATTGAACCAATCAATATGATAACATCATTCAGAGTTATATAACGTAAGAGTAAGCGTTTTAGAAGAGTACCACCAATAGTCGTTTCTCATAGAGAATCTTTCGAAAATTGATTATTTAATACTGATATATTTATATTGGAAAGTAAATTAGTATCCAGGTTCTCAATAGTAATATTCAAATATTCAATTGCATGTAGAGCATTGTGTTCAAATAAAAGCCTTAATTCGCTGAATGTTGAATACTTGATGTTAATTGAACCGTATTTGACCAAGATAGTGGTTGCATGTTGTATAAATATTTTACCTCATTCAGCCAACAACTGTGGCCTATGGATAAAATCAGTAAAAATAATAGCCAAGTAGAAAAAAGTTTCTTTCATTTCAATTACTTTCTATTTTAGAATAGGTAAACGAATTTTATAACTAACCATTGAAGAAATGTTATGTTTCTCTACTGAAGAAGAATTGGTAGAGAAATTAAATACCTTTATATATCCGATATATTGCTATTTGTATTTTCATTTTCTTTTTGTCTATTGACTGTCATTAGTACTCTTATTCCAAAAGTTTTCTAACTTAAGATAGAATAAGAAAAATCTCTGCAACGCAATAGATGAGTGATACAGCTTATATAAAATTATATTTCTCAGATCTACGTTTTATCTTAGCAAATTAGAACTATTCAATTATTTTCTATTCTGACAATTTTAGTCTCTATATGATCTTTTCTTTAAAATAGTATCGAAATAATACAAATCCATTACGGATGTCATTTTTTATGCTAAGTTAAATATATTATTTTGTTTGTGAACTATACCTGTAAAATTAATGATACAATTACTATTATGAATATTAAATGAGAGCCATAACGACATATTGTATCATATTGAAAGTATCGTGCAAAAGAAGTATTTTATATAAGTGCAGCCAATAGAAAGTGTTCATCATTCGAAAACTCACTTCTACTAACATTCTTCCAACCGAGTGAATAACAGAATTTTACATTCACTTTACTAAACTTTACACAAGATTCCTTTTTTAAAAATGAGATACTTGTACACCACACATAATAATTGATACGGTAGAACCAGAGATAAGCACAGGACGAGCCACACATTTTACCCTGTTCTTAGCTCTGACTGCAACAAGATAAAAATCAAATAAGTCAATTAGATATTCCATAAAATAATTGCATTGCGGAATATTCGTATTAAAAGTACCGTTTCAATCTGAGGCGTTTTTTTTGCACATCGGTACAACTCAAATTCAAAAAATTATTTGAAATTTCTCAATGTGACAATTTTATCCTACACGATGACTCTATCTATAATAATACTCTTGATTATTTAAGCTGTTAACTTCGATACTATTTTTAACAACATACCTTGTTCTACTTCTAATATCATACTTTGAACGGAAATGCGTTGAATAATAGGTTCTGAAAGTACCATTGGATAATTGGATGCTGGTTCTTTGAAGATGAGATGTAAATATTTTAATGTATTATTATTAAAAATCAAAGGTATTAATATTGCTTGAATAAGAATATATGAACAACATTCTGACTGTAACATAAGGCGTTTTATCAATGAGAAGAGCACATTGGATTGATCAGCTTCATTGAATGAAAGTGTTTTTCCAATATTCAAGTAATGTTCGAGAAGCATACGAATCATTAGATACAACAGTATCTAACAAAGTAGTAAAACAATTTCTATGATTCTGATTACTATTGATCCAAAGATGTAGCTGATCATAATGCATTAAGTTAACATTAAATGAATGATGAATCGAAGTAAGAAGATATTGAATACGAGCGTTGTTTACATCAATTAAAGCTTGACAAAGATCAAATGAAGATAAATAAGAAGATATAATAAGCAGAAGTTCATTTGGTAATGACTGCAACGTACTTTTACTCATCATTATTTTATTGAATGTCCTCTGTTTACATGCATCCCTATTATGATAGATATACAAGTGACCTTGAATAAGCTGAAACAAATCAGACGAAAATCAAATTAAGCTAACGAAATGGTCAGAATTGACCAATAATATTGCTTATTTCGTTGTCATTCTTATGTTATCAGCTGGTTTGACATACATCACGGTACCATATATATTCATGTTCAAAAAATCACTCATAGTCATTCGACGAACAATATAAAGGGAAACTTGCTGTTTAAGCATGGCTTTTTATAAGATGTCATTGACTTTATCTTCGCATCGAATAGAAAACAACCGTTTACGATCGCGCTTGTTTGACCTGGATTAGTGTTTGAAATACACTATGTTTTACATTTATTTTATCGGCATGCAATTCGTGAAGGATCCCAGCGAAAAACAAACAATAGTTCTTCAGGTGAATGTTAAAATTAAACAAACGTCCAACAATATATAATGGACTGATTATCCATATAGCAAACACATAAAATCGGATTCTGAGAATGGAATAACTATACATGAAAAAGCGAACATATCAAGATATATATATACTACAAAAAGAAAAAGCAGCTTAAAAACGAAAGTACTTATCACTAATGACGAACCACACATGAATAATACAATACAAAAAAGCAACCAGTATCATATAAATCATTAACCCATATTCAACAATCTACATCCGATCTAAACCTCATTTTCCACAGAACGTTTCAACTACAAAGTTCACTATACTTTCCAGAAAAAACAAAAAAAAAGGAATTAAAAAACCGAAACCCATCAAAAACCCACCACACTACGAAACCAAAACATAGACAAACCTACTCCGGATCCAAACCAAAATACCTGACCATTGACTACACTCACCTATCAAGCATTGCGAACGCCCGAACTCTTTCCTTTCGTCCGAAAGCCAACTCATTCTACGTTACAACAAAACACCACCATAAATTTTATTACTAAGTAATTCCAAGCCAGCAAAACATTTCACCTCCAACATACCCCTGTTTCAAGTTGCCTTTTGCATAAACAATGAAGCCCTACAATCCTACGCTCTCAAAAATGCAAAAACGCCAAAAATGAGAAAGGTCACAGTAAGGACATTTGAAAAAAAAGAAGTCTTTTGCGTACATTATAATATTTTGCGAATTAGTTGTTGAAAC